TAAAGTTTTTTTTTTCAATTACAAAACTAACCTAAGACGACTTATCCGTAAGTCGTCTAGATTTAATAAAATATTGAAATTTTAACTTTCCCGGAGACGACTTACTAATAAGTCGTCCAGGAAAAGTCAAATATCTGACATAATTCGGTCAAATGCAAAATTAGCCTGTTTTTCCTAGACAACTTATTTATAAGTCGTCAAGATTTTTTTTTTTTAACATACAAAGCTGGAAGACTTAGAAGTAAGTCGTCCAGCTCATCCAGAAGACTTACAAGTAAGTCTTCTACGCGAACAGATCTGGAAAAAAATTCAATTTCATACCTTAAACTAAGTGAGATGACTTTCTTAGCACACAAAGTCTTCTCCAACCACCCAGAATATCAAATGAAAGTAACTCACCAAGAATTATATGCTTAAATGGCTCTATCAACCATAAAAAAAATTGAATCAAAAGCTTGGGTTTTTTGTATGAATATGGAGACAAAGTGAAAGAGATGTTGTTTTTAGTTCATAATAATTGAGAAAGAGAGAGTGTAAATCGATTTTGGTGCATTAAGAGCTTCAAATTGGTTGTTCATGGTAGTTAGGGTATTGATGGCAATGTCAATCTTGTAAATACTTGAAGATGATGAGGTTGAGAGAGTAAAAAAATAATTTTCAAAAAAAAGAAAAGAAAAAAGTGTAATGGCATTTTCGTAAATAATGTGAACAGATGAGGTGAATAAGACAAATGAAAAATCAAAAAACAAGAAAGGTTAGTTTTGTGTTTGACTTTGAGTTTTGAGTCAAATTTGCAAAAATCCCTCAAAATAAATGATTCCTTTGTAATCACTTTAATTTTTCAATAACAAGTAAAAAAAACAATAAAAAGATACAAGTGGCATTAGAGCAAATATCAGTAGAGATTTCTCAACCAAAATTCTCAAAATACATATATATATATATATATATATATTATCTAGTTATGAATATTTTAAAGTTACAGAAATTTCAATCCAAAATAAAAATTCCCATTGAAATTACTCTTACAGTATTTTGAAGGGTTAAAGTTCTTGTTACATAATCAGTTCTCGATATTTTCCGCTTTTTAAAATAAAATAATCATGTGAAATCTGTCTTTGTCTTTTTAGTTTGGTGGAGAAGCTCTTACAGAAACATGGTCAATTTTTTGATTATCCAATATAGTAAACTAGGTGATTTTCCCGTGCTCATGCACGGGTATAAATATTTTTAAAGTAAATATATGATAATAATTAATTACTATTTAGTTTAATTTTCAATTAATTTATAATTTGTATGTATCATTTATATTAATAATATTATATTACTTTAATTATACTTTAATTTTATATATGTTATATCTAGTCGATTTTGTTGTTTTTACGGTTGATTTAGTTATCATTTGGATAAATTGGATTGCATCTCTGAATTCATCTGTAATATTTTAAAATATATTATTTTTTTATTAATTACATATTTGCATATAATGGGTGTTGTCTTAGATATGTAAATATATTTTAGTAAAATTATGTATAACTTAAGATATATTGTGCTTAGAATGAATTAAAAATTAACTAAAGTGTCTGATTCCAAAATACGTAAATTAATATAAAAATCATATTCTAAAGTCTCATGCATATATATAAATTTTACAAAAGAACTAAAATTGTAAGAGTTGGTTAATATTTATTTTCATTTATTAATATGTTTTGTGTTATTCTATGATCAATAAAAGGCTACATGCATAAGTAGTTGATATATTTTTGGAACCTCATACACACATATCAATATTTACAATAATTAAAATATTTATAAATTCTAACTTTATGCTTTAGATTTATTGAATGTAAACTGAATTTTTTTTAAATAATCTTAAAATTGGAAATTCAGATTTGCTTTGGTATTTTGATTAAGGTTATATTTAGTTTCACAAACATAAAATTTTGAAATTTATAATAAAATTTAATATTAAGAAAAATATAATTTTAATAATGATAAAATTATTTGATCAAGCGATGTTTATTGTTAAATTTATTTTTTTATTTTTAATATCTCTTAAAAATAAGCACTACATAAAATTATGATTGTATTTGAAAATAATATTATATAAGTAAAATATAATTTATAGATAATTTATGTAGTTGAAAGATATTATAGTCAACTAAATATATGAAAAAAATAAATAAAATTCAATAATACTAATTATAAAATATTTTTATTACTCTAAAAGTATATTTTATTTTATTTAAAAATATTTTAAATGTATTCT